TTGCGACGTCGTGGAGGTCTTTGACTTGAGGTAATTTTTGTTACAGTGTCTCTCCTTGTTCGAATAATCTTGCGACATGCCGTGTCAACCGGATATATCTATGAAATCTGCTCGTGATCAACGTGGTACTGTTTAAGACGTAAGAAGTTCGTCGGTATTTATGAGATATCATACAAACCTTTTAAAATCTCTCTCTCTCTCTCTCTCTCTCTATATATATATATATATATATATATACACTTCTTTTTTTTACAAAAATATCGGGAGAGTTAAAACAATCCGGCCTGTGCAGGTAAGTTATACTACCAAGGGAGCATAATGCAGGGGCTTAATCATCAGGATAAGCCAGATAATTACCTAACATTTGCTAACTTTTTTCAAATTATTTGTAATGAAGATTAGATCTCATTTAGAAACTTGCTTGGCATCGTAGATTTGAGAAAGATTTAGAGCGCATTTGCGAAGGGTCTGGTGCGTCTTTTGCATGAACGGTAACTTTTGCGAGAGGCGCAACGCTAGAGGTTTTAAAACGCGGATAACACTACCGCGCTTACCAGGAAGTTTTCGTAGATCGTTTTTCCCGTCCCGCAAAGCTATCCGCAACCCGCTACGTAACCCCAAACTCAAAAGCCAAGGCCATCGGCGCGCAGGCGCAGTAGCGGCTTCTTCGTTGCGGGGGGCTTAGCGGAGGGGGAAACGCGATCTACGAAAACCCCCTATCATCGTCTCTTTTGCACCGCCAGCGGTCAGCCGGTTGCTTGAGTGGTGACTTTGGCTCAGCACCGCGCTTCTCAAGCGCTTTAAATCTTTCAAAAATTTACTCATTTGGCGGTTTCCGAGGACGCTCAGCAAGTTTTCAATTATAGCTTTATGTTTATTTTCTCTAATTAAAAAGTAATTTTAGGAAATGTTTGTTAATTGCTCGACTTACTGTGACAATCTACCCCTTTGATATATGTGCCCCCCTCCCCCCCCCCCCCTTTTTCCGGCCGTCTAAACCATATGCAGCGAACAGTTTAATGAACTCTGAAGGATTTTTTTTTTCTAAACAGGCTGTAAAGCCTTTTAACATCTTTCAGCTCAATGCCGTCTAATCACTGTGGGTACAGTTGACAAATTATTGCATTGAACGCAATTTGTTTTATATTAATGAAGGAGGGGTCGCGCACAAATGAGGCGCACCCTAATCAGTTGATGTCTGCGCAGATAACAACAGTTCAAGCATCCGCGTACTTTCTATCCGCATCCGAATCGCATCCGAAAAATTTAGAACTGCATTCGACCCGCAGTCTGCGAATTTATAGTATATTATAAAATCAAGCATAAATTAAACAAAAGAATCCGGATGGTTCCCTTTAAGTGGTTTCCTTATGTTTCTACCGAAGAAATATAAAATCACTCTTTGAGTCAGAATACATTGAAACTATTTCTGTTTTATTCTGTTTTATCGCACTCATATTTTAAGCGATCGTTCTTTCAAATGCACTTCGCGTTACTGGAAGAATGATCGCAGTTAGGAGATCGTCTTGGGAGTCTGCGACACTCTTCACAGAAGTTGCGCTGAAAATAAATATTTTTTTATTTATATTTCTTTTTTTTGCTTTGTAGCACCTATTTTAAGTAAGCGCGTAGTTTCTAAACATGGAAGTTAACAGAAAACAGACTAATTACATTGTGTGATTTTATTTAGTTGAAAACAATAAAACATGGGAGGGGAAAAGCGGTCATTCACAGCAGCAGGGTATTGGTACATAATGATAACCGAGACTACAATTTGGAAATTATAAAAATATTCAATAAGGGCAGCACCAATCACTTTTCAGTTTTAAACACAAACTCGAAATCCTGTGTTCCGAACCACATACTTAGCAACAAATCGCCAACTGCCGAGAAAAAAAAAGAAAACGCACACACACGTCACATTTCACCTGTCGAGGTTTCTCTATAGAAACAGAATCTCTTCAACAATTAACGGAATCATACTGGTTCGCCTCTCTTGAATTACAAGTCCCGCTAATGAGAAAACTTTCTCCGCTAGTGCACTTGATGCTGGGGTGGCACCCGCGAACCGCGCTACAAGCGTGAGGTACGAGAACTCGCACCTCACTCTCGTGGTAGGAGGATTCTATATCCTGGCGGCTTGTACGCTTTGGGTTTATTATGCCTGAAGAACGTTTTCCGCTCTTTCTCTGCCATACAACAACACGCTTTAACCGGGCCGGTTGGTTGGTTTCGGTATTTTTTCTAGGGACAGCATGTTTTGCGAGATAGATCGCTATAAAGCGACCTTTGGTGAGAATAGGGTATTTCTTGGCGAAAAGAACAATTCTCAACTCGACTGGCACCTTTCTACTAAGAGTATTTTTCTCCCGCAAAAACCTTTCGATGGTACACTTCGTAGTATCATTCACTTATCCTCCCGACACTCTGCAGTCGAACAGGTTTATGTCCGCCTCGAGAAAAACGCAAATCCGGACCCTCGGATATACGCATCCGCAGCCCTTGGAATCCGCATCTAATCCGCGATCGGCCAAATCGGATAAAATTTTTATTCGCATCCGCCAGTTGGTTGCGGATATTCGCGGATGATCCTCTTGTAATTCGAGGATATGCAGGACTCCACCTATAAGAATGCTCATGTCTTGTACGGAGTCGCACCTTTAATAAAAACAAAACAAAAACGAACCTATAGCGTTCACAATAAAGAATTGTGTCAGCTGTACCAACAGTAGTTATATGGTATTGAGCTAACTATGCTACAGTTTACCCTGGAAATCCAAAATCTACCATACAAAGCGTACAAAGCATATGATTAAACTTTTATATACTCATTTTATTGATGTGGATACAGTTTGAAAATTTTACAGTTTAATTTTACTCGTAAAAAGACCAGCTCAATTTTAAATGTCAGAAGAGACCACATTAAAAAATAACCCATTTGATATTTAATAGTTCAGGAAAATTTATGGCATTATTGTTTTATATTAATTCATGCATTTGAGAACGCTACCCTCTATGCGATTTTTGACATCACCTTGATTTATTATGATCTTAATATTTAGATTTGTCTCTTTAGTTGTAATGTGGAGCAACTTACGATTCATTAGAGCTACGATATCGTACCATCCTCTCAATAATACCCGAATTAAAGAAGAACACGAATCAAGATATATCAACAGAAATGGGGAGTAATGCCATGATATGTCTTAACGCGCTTAGGTCCACCAGGTAATTTACAAGTGAGCTTTTTTTCTAAATCTGAATAATAGTTTATAAATAACTCGGATGTCTAGCGCAGCATACGAAACACCAACTACAGAGAGTATTTTTTCGCGGATAAAAGTTTGTCATGCGTGCTTTTTTTCCTGTAAACGTGCTGATTCATGTGGTGCCGCACGATTCCCTCGTAATCCTTTCGAGGAACCTTATCGCATTTCATTTGCGATAGCTTGAGTCCTCTGCTTTAGCGAAAAAAAAGACAAATAAGATTTGGGAATACTCACCGAACTTTCCTGGCTTTTCCTTAAAAGGAGGGATTGAATACAAATATACTGAACACATAGTTGCTGTCTACGTATCTTATTTGAAAATTTAAAAAAAAATCGCATAGTACGAGGAATTAGATGTAGACAGACGCAGACAGAGCGCTGTATTTGTGTCTTTCTTCATCTGGTCCCTCTTCCTTTGCGTTGCTTTAAATCTTAAAATATGTCATACTAACTTGCCGAAGCTTTAACTTTAGCGTCAATCTTACTCACACTCGACGGCTTCGTTATTTTTACTCTCATCACCAAAATAACACTATAGTTCATTAGGGATGGTTAGTTTTTATGGTAAGGTCAATAACCTAATAAATTATTACTTGAATGTGTGGAACTACGCATCTTGTAATTTACACACAAAGTCTGAGCTACATTGTTTGCTTTAAACTACGACAAGCCCTGGTTGCTTTTGCGCCACGAAACTCCAAAACAACAAAGGAGCAAAGGGCAAGAACACAACTAGTTCGCGGCTTCATATATTTTGCCTCGCGCGAAACAAGCTTAAAAAACAAAGAGCTACCATTCGAGCTTTCACGGTTATATATTTACGCAGTCGATACGTTTTGAGAACTTACTAGCAACGAAAACAACCCAGGCAGCACACCGATGTTGGTCCAACAGTGGCCCAACATTGGCAAAGATCGGCCACAATATTGGACAATATTGGAAGCGCTACCTCTTCCAACGTTGGCCCAATCATTGGTGCCAATGTTGGGCCAACGTTCAGCCATCATTCTAGCCTATGTTGGCCCAGTCATTGGTTCCAATGTTGGGCCATTGTTCAGCCATCATTACAGCCTATGTTGGCCCCATATTGGTGCCGATGTTGGGCCAATGCTACACCAACGTTCCAGCCAATGGTTGTCCCACATTGGCAAAGACCGCCATAATCTTGGACAATACTGGAAGCACTACCCAATCCTATGTTGGGGCATTGTTCAACCATCCTTCCAGCCAATGTTCGGCCATTGCTCAACCATCGTTTCAGCAAACTTTGACCATCATTGACACGAATACTAGGCCATTATCCAACCACAATTCCGGCCAACATTTGGCCATTGTTTGATGTATTCCATCACTAGTAGTTTACTACAACATATAGCTATTCGGGCGCTCCACTGGCTATCTTACGGTTAGAAATTTTTTCCATGACATGCGTATTATGGCATAGCACCCTGAATATCCACTACTCCATTATTTTACAGAACCGTGTATAGAAAAACTACAAGGTTCAAAAAGTCCCTTCTGCTTTGGACCATGCACATCTGCATGCAAATTACGAATTCAGAACAAATAGTCTTGTGAAACTTATCTGAACACTTCTAAAACCCAAGACAGAGGCCACAAAGACGGGACAAGCAAGATGCCTATTTATTTCTTTTTTATTCCACAATTGTAATTCTTTTGCTTCAGAAGAAAGCTTGTGACACTTGCTTTAGTGTTAAAAAAAAAAAAAAAAAATTAAGCAAAAAGTAGAAGCAAACAAAAAAGTAATAGAGAAAAAGTAATAAGTAATAGCAAAACAGCTCGAGTCCCATACGATGGCATTAATCGACAGAGTCCATCGAAAAGGCACCGCAAAAATGCCACCCTACATGACTCTATCTAAAGACCCCCTTGAGCTGGGGACATGGGTGGAAGCAGTTCCTGGGATGGATCCTCGCCCACTGTCATGAGGAATCGGCGTTTCCTGCCGCCACCCCGGTCTCCCGATCCTGGTAACCATCTGCCAATGATGGCCTGGGATGCCTTCTCATCCTTTTTGATTTTTGCAGAGATGGTTGCTGCAAAGATGGTTGAACATTAGTAAAGCTCAATGCTTCTGACCAGGCAAAATCAATTGCAGTCAAATCTAATTAATTCAAACTCCCTTAATTCAAATGAACATGCAGGTCCCACCCTATGCATCTCAATGGGTGGGAACTCACAGTAATTCAAACTTTTCTTTATTAAAAAAAAATGTTGGTCCTTCTCGAGTTTGAATTAACGAGATTCGACTGTACAACTGGATTTATGGATATGTCGAACAAAGTCGGAATGCTTGGTTGGTTTCCTGTAGAACAAATGCAGAAAAAGACTTTAGCAGAAAACACTTAACACGCCCATTTGTTGGCTGAGACGTTTGCAGCATAGTGCAGATTCTGCACAACATCCCATAGCAGGAAGCTGCCGAGGCTGCCTCACGACGCTTGCTACTCTGGGACGACAGAATGGGAGTTTGCAGGAGAGAATATTCTGTTGACAGCAGTGGCAAAGGATTACCCGCATTCCTGCTATTCGCAACTCAAGCGCCCTACAGGTTGCGGGGCGGTAGTTCCAAGATGGCAGAAGAGACGGGGATAGATTCTCCAAAATTTCCTGTATGCCTGCTCGGTGAAGCTGGTCAGTGCGCTAAAAAAGATTTATTTGTCTAGAAATGCGAGGTGGTTAGGGCAGGATCATATTACCGGCGACGGAGATGTTGATGCACGTTAGCAAAACGAGCATGCTGATACTTAAAGGTTGCCGAAAGCTCAACTTGCAAAGCTTTGTGGCAGGCGAACATATTTTAGGAACCAGTCAGATCACTCTTTGTGGCAGAATATTTTTGAGGGCGATGAAGATATCGTGTCCGTGCATTGCCCGGTCATTAGTGCTCTAAGTGAGCTGCAGGCGTTGACCGCCAAGACTCAGAAAAGGAGGGTTCACAGTATTTATGTCTGTGTCGCAGGCTTCCAACTCGCTGCTCACCGTCGCGTTTTTATAGTGTATACATATATATTAACGCGTGATAAAACTGCACTATGGATATTGATAGGAAGTTTGTTATCCTAGGCTACTATGCGGTGTAGCACTGCAAACAGGAAGTTTTTGCTGCACCTTTGAAGCACAATTTTCAGCACGCCAGGAGCCCTGCCGTGCTCACGGCAGTCACTGTATGGGTTCCCAGAGTAACGAAACTCCGGAAGTTCGTTTTAGAACCGCGGCGTGGCACTGAAACCGAAACCATGGCACCGAAATCTTGGGTCCACACATCGACGAGGGTATGAAGGCAATAGTAGCGACATGCATTGGAGCATGTTGAAAGAGCTTTACTTGAATTGCTCGATGGGCTACACAAGAGCTTCTGTGGTGCTGTGAGTAGCTTTCGTAGATAATTAACATTACATTACATAATTTTCTCTCTACCGAACATTTATAAAACATTAATTCAAGTTGATGTGCTCCCGCTGCTACACCTAAAAGCGACACAAGCAGGCATTGTGCCGCTATGCACACAACCTCCCTGCTTTTGACGTCCATAACCACGTGGAAAAGACTGCGCGTAAACGTGCGTTCGAGGAGCAGTAGAGCGTACGTGTGTGCAGTTGTTTGCTCGACCCAAGATGGTGGCGATTAGAGCCGCTTGAAGCAATGATGGAGGTCAGTCTAGCGGTGCTTGTGTCACGTGATTGCTACCGTCCAATGATACTCACCAAGCCAAAACATGATCGGCTAGAAGTGAGTATGTTTTCGGCAAAACGCGAAAAGAGAAGGAATGCGTTACTCTGGGAACCCATACAGTGACTAGCTCACGGTAGCCAACGGTAGCCTGTGGTAACTTATGCTAAAACTGCCTATTACCAAATCGGCGTGTTTAGGGGCTTTATTTATTGTTCTATCAAAAATAAATATTTTACTATAATGTAAATTTTTTGTACCGTGATTATTTGCAATGTTGCAGCCCCTCTCCCCAAAACTGCGCCCCTTCTAAGCCCTCGTGACGAACGGCTGGCTAGCAGAGACGCGATTGAAATGCTTCGAGCGTTTATTTGTTTACTTTGTAATGACCTGCAACTACCGGAAAAAAAACGGAGGATGGCTGTGGATGGCTGTCAGTAAACAGTGGCATTTCTTCAGAGCTTTGCTGCAGGAACTACAATGAGTCATGGCTGGACTGGACTTAACTCGAAACACCCAAAGTTACCATCAGCCAGAAAAGAAAAATAGGCGCCTAAGTTTTGGGAGCCTGAAAATGCTTTAAAGGGAAGCTGAACCGGTTCTGTATTTGAGGATAAACAACTAAGTCGACTTCATGTGGCGTTCAGGACCACGAATATAGAGATTATTTTTCAATTCGGTGAACGGAAGATTCAAAAATTAATTTTGAAAGTACCGCTGAATCCCCTCCTTCCTGGAGTGTGAGGTCACAAAAGGTTTTTCGGAATCTCCGCTCTCGCGCATCTTCAGCACCAATCAAAGCTGTGCACGCGCACTCGCTCTCTTTTTAGAAAGATTAAAAAAATAAATCATGACTGGTGTCAGCGTGGAATATACCTGGCAAGCTTGCGATCACACGCGTGCCCACACAAGCAACACGCGCTTGGCGGCCAAAGGATCCTTTTATGACATCACGACTGGTTGGAGGTTTTTCGTGTTTTCTCGCGATACGAGAAAGCACAAGCCCTCTCGTGCACCGCCGTTGGCCTCCTATGAACTAATGTTATGGCGGCGTCATGCATGCGCTGAACGCTCGGTGAGATAGGTCTATTACATATTCGGGAAAAACAAATGTAATATTCGGATTAATGGTTGACGATTAACGTGTTAAAAATACGTCAGAAATCACCTCTAACTCGTTTTTTTTTTTGTTTTTGGTTTTTTAGAAAGTGTTTTAGCTTTTTTTTTAAGAACTTCACATTTCAGGACTGCCCTACAGTCAACTTTTTTTGCTTTACTTTTAGCATTTAAGAAAACTGCCCTGTCTGCCTTCGGGAAGTTTGGCATGGCCAGGAGAATATGTTGTCAAGCATCGTCACAATGGGAAGGAAAGGATGGATGTTTTTAATGATGGAGTCTTCGCACCAAGAAGGATGCGTACAGCCCCACACCAAATAAATTAAAGCTCCTGCCAGTGTGGTAGGAACTTCAAAGGAATTTTTAGGGAAAATCATAGTCTGCTAAATAAGTTTCGTGGGAAGTTCTTCATTGTTGAAGACCATTCAATTATGAATTCATACTGTGCAAGGGCAATTAGGACACACACAGCACAACATTTTGGTCACTTCTGTTAAGCTGAACATTAATAAGCCAAACAAGGTTTCCAGGTCGCTTCATGTGTGCAATAGGAGATTGAGTCACTGTATACGTTGCGAGGCAAACACAAATTTCAGTAATGAAATATTACCTGTCGCCACGGTGCAAAGTTGCAGCAGCAGGAACTTTCTTTTTCCTTTTTTCCCATGCAGGCTATACAAGGCCTGCACAGGGGGGCTCATTATGTGCGACATTATATTTGCCACCGTCTCCACGTCTGTCTTCCCTCCAATCCTGAAGAGCCGCTTTTGCTGCAAAAGAGCATAAGAAATAACCATAAAACAATATTGCAAACTTTATATAGAAATTGTGTCGTAAAGGTAAATAATTAAAATCCTATGTCCTGTACAACTCATTTATTAACCTAATCTGCTTCCGCAGAAAGTATTAGAAAGATTGAAGCTTTCAAGCCTCGAGTCAATTATTCACTGGCCCTAGAAGCAATTTAGGCAGTGCAATTCTCTTCAGTTCACTGTACACTGCAGCCACTTCAAGGGGTATTAGTTTTATTTTCACCATTATGCAGACATGGCTGAATGTTAGTCCTTAAGGCAGCTCTCTAAATGAAGGAAGTTTAACGAGGGCCACAAGCAATTATAGGTGATGCCTCCTCCAGGTGCCACGCACTCAAGACGTGTCCCCTGGATACAACAGGGTTAACATTATTAACCGACACATTACTTAACCCTTTAACTAGAGCACAGTGAGCCTCAATAATTCTACCTTGGTTTGTCGAACACAAAAGCCACTATTTTCCTAAATCTGGGGAGCAAACAATGTGTTGCACAAGGAACGCATCCGAAACAATTGCCCCATATTTCTCCGAATATGCTTGCTCCGGGTTCCGAAAAATTAGAAATTTTTGTTATCATGAAAGCCTTTTCATCGTCACTTCAATCAGGAAAAAGAAGGAATTTGTTTTCAGGGCGATTTCATTTGACAAATAGGCAGAGGCAATGGCTCAAAAAGCTTCTGTTGAAAAACCTGAGCATTTTCCTGGCCTGCTCTCTGCCACCTCCTTCAAGAAGTGGAGCAGAGGTACCACGAGCAGTTTTTTTTGACAGAAATGAAGTACTTTATAGCATATCTCAAGTTTAAGAAGGTGGGGCGAGGGAAAGGAAGGTGGGACAGGTTGAAACGGAAGCACCGCTAGCTGGCGAGGGGAGTGCCAGGTTTCCTCTCCCCTCACCATCATTGGTGAGGGGAGAGGATTCCTCCTTTTCCACCTTCCTTCTCCTCGCCCTACCTTCTTGAGTTGGCACAGACCAGTACAGGGTTGGCCGAGCTGGCATGGCCTAAGAGCCGCAAACAAAACCACGGAACTTCTAAGAGCCGCGGGGGGGGGGGGGGGCAAACTTAAAGGGAAACTGAAGCGGTTCTGTATTTAAGAAAAAGCACTTCCATGGCCTTCGTTCGGCCTCCATGATCACGAATATCGAGATTATTTTTTAACTCGGTCCACGGAGGCTGCATAAATTAATTTTTAAAGTACCGCCGAAGCCCCTCCTTCCCGGGGCGTGACGACACACTAGGAGTTTTCGGAATCTCTGCTCTCGCGCATCTTCAGCGCCTGTCAACGCTATGCACGCGCACTCTTGCTATTTTCAAAAAGGTCAGAAAGAGACGTCACGGCTGGGGTCAGTGCGGAAAAATATACCTGTCAAGCTTGCAATTGCACGCGCTCGGCGGCCCAAAGATCCTAGTATGTTGTCACGACTGGTCGGACGTTTTTCGTGTTTCCTCGCGCTTAGTTACATGTTCGGGGAAAATGAACATGATATTCAGATTCACGGGATAAAAATACGCCAGAGTTCACCTCCAACTCGTTTTTTTCAAGAAGTGTTTCAGCTTCCCTTTAACTTTTGTTCAGAGTCTGACTGTACGTATGGGGGCACAAAGCTGTACGACTGTACATATGGGAATACAAGGCTGCCGAACTGCAGGCTGCAGTGTGCTTTCTACCGTAATCCTTTCTTTTTGTTTTTCCTGGGAAAACGCGGTAAGGGGCGAAGGAGGGGGGGGGGGGGGGAAGGGGGGTCCCCTCACGAGGGATTCGGGAGCCGCACTTGGACCAGCAAAGAGCCGCATGCGGCTCGCGAGCCGCGGTTTGGCCACCCCTGGACTAGTAGATGGCCAGTTCATTAAATTCAAAGTATATTGCTTGTACTAAACAAGAAAGCTGAATACACAGCGACTCGCTGATTGAGTTGTTTTTTTCTGTGAATGCATTCTGACCGGACAGGCGAAAGTATGTTGTTACATGATTAAAAAGGGTTAAGGGGACACAGATTTTTTTAAAACAGGCTGATTATGATTTGCACACCACAAGATGTTGAACCAAGAAGAAAATTCATTGGAGCAAGTATAATGCCTTGAGCCTTATTTGAGTTATTCCTAGAAAGGTGGCTCTTAGGCACATTCGAAGCCCTTTTTTTTTTAGGAAAACTCGAATGACTCACACCTTTAATTATGCTCCTATTTTCTTTTTTGGGGTCAATACATCTTGTGGTATCTGGACTGTAATCAGGCTGCTTTAAAAACAAGGTTTTCTTTTGTCTGCAGTGTCTATTTAATGAATCACAGCAATCGAACACGAGATGTGCCCTATACCAGATAGCTTTCATTGAACTAACAATGCTTCACATTGCTGAAGTGATAGTGAGGCAAGGTACTCAATAAAAGCTACCGTAAGCCAGATTTGCACAACAGAAACAAAATGGTAGAGATCCATATAATCAATAGAGACATCTAAAGTACAATGTGGCTTCCTCACAAGTGATAAAATGGAATCTCATTAATTAAAATCCTCTAAGTGCGAACTTTGCATGTTGCTCAATAAGAACTTTTTAGAAAAATTTTACTGTGAGTGCTACGTTGGAATCCTTGCTGCAGAGCTTGCATGCATGCCAACTCCTTTGGGTGCATGACCATAACATGTTGTACTCATGTACAGCTAGACTCTAAGGAAGGGGTTAAAGAACAGTTAGGCTTTGTACACAATTCTGCGGAAAAAGAATGCATGATGATGTGTAGTAACGAAGAATATAAAATAAAAAAGGCTAGTAAATACCAAGGCTTCCGCTACAGCCTCGTCCTGAGCGGCTTCCTCCGCCGCCATCAATTCTTCCAGGGTTGTGGCTGGTAGCCTTGGTAGAGTGACTGGGCGAGCACCAGACTCTGGTGCTGGTGCAGCCTGTGCTGCTGGCGCCTCCAACAGTCCCAGCCGGTCGTGATGGCCCTCACAGACCTCTTTGAGCTGCGAAAGCTCATTCAGAATGTCTCTGTTTTGCTGCCGCACTTCCAGCAGCAGGTGGAGCAGTCGTAGTTGGACACCTGAAACACAAGCAAGCACTTTCAATGAATAAAATAACTTGGTTTTTCATATTTTTACCACTTGACACTTATGTACGGGAGCGACAACGGAGGTACACTGGAAGGGCCATCCACCTTTCAAATCAAGAGTCTTAACCAGAGGGCAGATCAAAGCATGCATAACAAGCTCGAAAGAGCTCCGAAGTTGTTGCATGTCTGCCAAATGAACAATGTTGAAATTAGGGAGACCGGGGGTCGGGGGGGGGGGGGGGGGTAGCAAGGAACTGTCACAATCCCCCCCGCCCTCAGACACGCCCCCTTTGCGCTTCAACAAGTTAATGAAACCTTAGGGTTTCTTTACTTGCTGTGACACAAAGATAGCCCTAGTGCTTCTGGAAGGCGATGTGGACCTCGATATCAATGTTACCTCCATGAGCTACGCTGACATCGCAAGTGCGGGTAGAACAGGATCACAAACTTGTCACGTTCCCTTGACGACATGAAACATGCAAATTTAGTCGTCCACGACTCCAACAACATTTGTAGGTATTACTTTTCCCCCTCAGGGAGTGACATCCTCCGACCTGACGCCGAATATCAATGAACAGAACTCCAACGCAAACCAAACAGTTTGATCTAGGTCTAAGCCACCTAGTCATTGAGTCCTTGCACGCCTCATACGCGTGGTTGCACGAGATGAATACAGTTAAATATTACACCCGATACACCCTTTTGTATTAGGCGGTAGCCAGCATCACCTAGCCACGCTAACCTGTTGGCAATATCGATGCGGCCATACTGTATTAAACGAGGCTCTGGCCGATAACGCCAGGTCCGTGCAGCTGCCACAACTACAAAAGAAAAAACAACTAACGTTGCGGTTGTATTTTGGGAGGTTTCAAGTCGCATTTGCGCAATCAGAAGATGTGACCGAACTCGAAAGTCTCTTGGACAATCCAGGAAAGTTAGGTATGTTGTTGCACCAATGATGGTGCCATATGTGAGCAGCAGCTTCTACCAAGTGGTTTGCTAAATTAGTTTTTGCTGTGCTCTGAAATAGGGCGTTATCAAGTTTTTTTTTGTTACAATTTCTTCCAGAGCTATACACCAACAAATTTGAATATGAGCAAAGCAGCATTTTTGTGGAGAGTTTGATGGCACTCTGTTGAATGGCATATTAATACGGTCCGCTTTACAACTGAGAAGCTTCCATCGACACCTCCTAGCTTTACCTTAAGAGTTTTTTTAGTTTCAAGCAGTCGTTGAAGGGGCCATAAAAAAACCACTGCAACCTGCACACTCTCCAGATCTGAATGTTCATAAACAGACTCACGACTTGCCACCACATCCTCCTCCCTGTCTTCATGACAGGCACCTTCGACGTCCCAGTTCTCCTTCTGGGAGTGGAACCTGGAGTTGCGTGCAGCGGCCTCACCGCTAGCCCTCTCCTTTTCTTTTTGAGGTTGTGAACATGGATTGCACATTGCCTCAGCACTGGGCCCTTTCTTGACCTTTTGGGGCTGCGAATGGGGTTTGTGTATTGCGGTCCTCTCCCTTGATGGTGAGCTTGATGAGGCTGCAGTGTTAGTTCAAGGGAAACAAGGTTTGACAATGCCATTTTTCATCAGAATGTCATGACTGCTGGTATCCGCCTAATGCACAAATGTAATTTATTGTGTCTTTTGTGAAGTTTGATTGATGTGGTGGAAAGGCACCCAAAAGCTAAATACAAGACATTTCGGTAGAGATAAAAAAGAATTGATATGCCACGTAGGCAGAACAGTCGATATCAAATGCTTTTCTCTTGAAGAAGTTGTCTCCCCAATAGACCTATTGTGGTTTAACCCATGTTCCCCAGCCCGCACTTCGGGAATTCTGTAAACTTGGTTCTGCCATGTCTGTCCCCTGGCTGCTCCCCCCCTTCGGATCGCATTCCCCAGCCACCGACGCCCTTTAATCTTCTTTATCTGGTTTCAATTACGATCTTCTTTAGTATGGCTCATTTTATTGCTTAGAGGTACATTTATTTCGTCCTGCATACCCAAAAATCCCGTAAGGGCGCCTTCCCCCGTGCAATCGCCCATCCCATTTTTCTGGCTAAATATCTAAAACAAAAATTCCGAAATATCGCCCACCCCATTTTCCCGTCAGACATCATGCAATGTCCGATGGGTGGATCAGTCGAGTCAATTTGTTACTGAATCCCCAGCACCAATCAATATCTAACGTTTTATGAAAGCTATGGATTGTTCGAGACAACAAAAATATGTAAGACCAAAGGTTCTGCAAGCCACAACACTAAGATTATGGAAGCATCCGACCCAATATTCATCGCTTTGTTGAATTTACACGCGTGTGAAAGGATACAACACAACCTTTAGTAAGAATAAACAACAAAAAAACATGAAACGTTTAATAAGGAAGCTTCAGCTGAGCCGGAAACGGGCTTGCGTCGTCCAGATTCATGCTTCTGAACGTGCGCCTGTAGCAGACGCCACACGGCGGTATCCCTGCTTTCGCATGTTTCCAATTTCAGCCACACGGTGGCGACACTGTTCAATCTCGAGGCGATTAATCTTTTTTATTTGACATGAATTCGAGAGTAAGAAGGCAGTTTTGATTGTCTGTGTACATGCTATCAGTGTTGGCAGAGAAACAAATAAGTGATCATGATGCCAAAGCAGATTACGCACCAGTTTGGTCTTTCATGCTTGTTCGATTGACATGTGGGGCATTGAGTACAGTTTCCTTGCTCGTAACGCAGGATGCTGCTTTGATTTTACGATTCAAACGCGTGACGAGCCGTTTTAGCATTTTGCACACCCTATGCAGTGCCTGTTAACAACCGCTCGTGCGGCGTCACAACCTTTGTCTGAGACTGCCAACGGTTCACGTTGCGGGGGCTCACGCTCCTCTATGCATCGCTGTCAAAAGTACTGGCACGAGAGCACTATCTGATCTATCTTCTTGTTCTCATGGGTGCATCTAAATCCCGAGAGCACCTTGCAGAATGTGTTTTAAGTGAAAGAGGAAGGCAAGGTTACCATGCAGGGTAGCACAAATGCCAGCAGAAAAACCCTTCGGCCAGTAGAGCTCACGCACTAACCAGGTACAGTTACTGTGCACACGTAACTGGTCTGGAGTGCAATGATGCAATGACCTCAAATCATGAAACATTGCACAAAAATACAGTGCAATCCCCTTATAACGATACCAAATAGAACATTGTCCTGCTTATAACGATCAATATCTAGAGTTTTTAGACTAGAAACGCTCAGTCCAGTCCAGATACGACAATCGGTTATAACGATTGAATTTTTGGGTTTTCTCACTATCGTTATAAGTGGATTGCACTGTATGAATGTATACAACACTTTGGTTAAATACCAACAATGCTTATTCTTTTACGCTTACGTGCTGGTGGGATTTCAAGTCGGGGACGGGGGACATCTTTCCTGTTTGAGCAGGACTCGCCGGCTAGAAGAAAAAACATGCAAACTGTACGCACCATGACACTGTGAGCGCGAATATGACATAGGCGCTTTTGGATTATGCAAACAATTGGTTGGGCAACAGAAATTTCGCTGCCTAAGTCATGTTTCCTATGAACCCTTTTTACTGCATGGGCAGCTAAAACAGGTTCTGAAGCATTTTTGGAGCCTAAAAACAGGCACTTTAGAGCACCTTAAAAGGGCACTGACACGTCAAAATCATTTTTTTTATTATCCGAAACGATTGAAAACGATGCCTGGACACTACCCTCAAAATTTGAAAGTTGGGAACTCTGTGTTTGTGAAGTAAAAAAACAATTTCCAAATGCCGAATTTGAAGTTCCCGCGATATCCGCACCGGTGCGGTGACGTCAAAAGCTCAGCTCCCCTGCGAGTCGACTTTTTTTCACGCCTCCGCTCCGAACCCACCGATTCACCCAGAGACCTGGAGTGAGGAGGTGAGTGGGGGGAAACCCGGCTCCTGTGTGCGCCCTGCGAGCAGACGACAGTCGCGGCATCATAACGGACGCCGATTTTTCATATTTAAAAAAAGAAAGGCCGTAGTGCGTTCGCAATTGCGTTAAAAAACATGTTTCACGATGGCCGTTATTAAATGTTATAGAAATGTCGCCTACAAAGCTTCTAAATTTCTTTGTTCTTGACGTCACAATTCAAAAGCGAGGAGGTGAGGGTCGGGAGAGAAGGACGGCAAAAATAAAAAGGTGCGCGCGCGCGTGGTGAAATTTTTTTTGCGGTGCGGTATTTTTTTGCATGTCGAGAACTACCACTTGCATAGTTTTAGTCAATAAAAAAAATATGACGTTTGTGGTGTCAGTGCCCCTTTAGAGTAGAAAATCAATATTTTGGAGCAGCTTAAAAGCAGAGAAATTCACATTTTGGAGCAACCTAAGGACTAAATATTATAGCAAATTACTAGGAAATTGTGGGGCAATTACGTGAAATGTAATTGCAGCACTTATTTTATTCAGAACTGCCAGTCACACACGCCTTTATTGTAAGTTTTAATACCGTTTTGATTCGCATAATGAACGTACCCCTCGCAACAACCATGAACATTTGGACTTTTTTTTTACCCCCGCATAATGAACACATTTTTAATTTTCGGCTTTGCGAGTCTTGACCTGCATCAAACTTAGCTCTAGTCGGCTAGCGTCCAAGCCCGCCAATTTTCTTTTGTCGCGAAGCTACCAGGCCAAGTCAAACCAAGCCAAGTTACTTTCACAACGGCTACAATTCCATGGTTACGGAAATGATCAACCGTGAAACCGAGCCGCGCACACGTCTAGCGTAGCTGGGGTCGAGGAATAGCCCAACCCCAGACGTGCTTCGTCCATCGGATGCATTGATGTCAACACGCCGCTGTCTGTGATTTGCTTTCCAACAGTGATATTGTGAAAGTGGTCATGCCTTAGAACGGTCGCGTCGTTCCGTGTGAAGTGAGCTATGTAGGGCACTTTTTCTTCGGCAAAAGGCAAAACAAAAGCGCCTTAAAAAGGTTTGCAATTTATAGAGCGTGATTACTGGGCACACCTCCGTCAGTGGAGACGTGCCACAGTACCCTGTCATGTGATATTGGCACCTAAAATGAGATTTGCGTGACGTGTTAAATGCAAAAATTTTACCCTGCGTAATGAACGCCCCCCTCAAATATGGGTCAATTTTTCGGAAAACAGTGTCTTCATTATGCGAGTAAATATGGCATTCTTATTTCACTTTAATCCTACAATTATTGCCCTTGGCTATACCATGCTGTGTACACTGGTTCTCGTCCGATCATCGAAGCTAAGCAGCATCGGGACCCGTCAGTACTTAGGAGGGCGACAACTTTTTGCCATCTCTCTTCCACCCTCTGGTTAACGTACCTTCTCTCGACTAGTAAGAGCTCGAGTTGTAGCTGAACACGTGACTTCTCTCAACGCATTACAATGGGATTTAATGGCCAGATTCAGACACAAAAATTTATAAAGTAGGCTAAGAATGTTTCTCGCAAGAAACAAATGGATCTATGAAACCAAAGGTTTCATAGATCCATTTGTTTCGTATGACATGCGTCATACGAAAACTCATTAAATTAGTAAATAAAAAAATGTCTTGGAAAAAAAAAGGCTTTTGAGGTATATTGGTGCAATTTTGGGCGATTTAATATTTTTGCCACAACCAGGCGCAGAATATTCTGTGTGTTTGATAATGGGGCAATTCGTGCAGCTGTCCCACCCCTGGTAATAGCATTTGCCTAGTCAAAGTTGAATGACAAAAACATGCAGAGGCTTGTTCCTGCTAACCGCGTCACACTCTCTACATTAGAAAATCCTATTATTTTGCTTCCAGCTCTTTTGATAAAAATTTGGAAATCCATAATCACCAGAAGCGTCGGAGGTGTCCAGAGCAGAAGTATGTTCTGCAGTGTTGATTTTCCGGGACGCCTTTCGGTAAGTCCCTGAAGAAAACAAAAAGTGAACTAGAATGCACAAAGATAATAAGGCACAAGAGGAAGGGAGGCACTCAGTGCCAATGCATATCCTCAGGGCAGCATTAATGCCATGCCCCTCCCCCCCCCCCCCCTTTTCTGGTAAAAAAGTGAAATGTGCCATGCAATAAGAGATTTTCACCATCCCCTTGAGGTCCAACGACAAGCTACAGATGGAACTATTTATTTAGAGTTAAATGCACTGGTGCCTTAGCAGTTGGCCTTTTAATGGCCAAATAATCCTGGCAGAGGCCCCTAGGGCAGCTGTGAAGGAGGGCAAAAACAGAGTAAGCGAAGGTTTTGTAACTCAAATATGCCCCAATCGTGCAGGGATGCTCGCTTTGCTTCCTAAACTCACCAATACCAAGAAAAATGCAAATGAAAATTCTCTTGCATACAAACATACAAAAAAATGCTAGAAGGCATTCACCAGCACAGTGGCACATGGCTTCCCGTGCAAGCAGTGGGATAACAGTGGACATCATAGCAATTGTAACACACCCAGATGTCGGCATTTTAGGTCGCCCTCACTCACCCTCACCCTCATAGCCACACTCACCTAAGCCCCTCACTCACCCTCACAGCTACACTCACCTTCAGCCCCTCACTCATCTTCACCCTCACAGTCACACTCACCTTAAGCCCTTCACTCACCCTCACTGAACCTCACGGCCCTCACGCACTCACCGCCCTTACGGCCCTCACGCCCCCCTCACGCCACTCACGGCCCACACGCCACTCACCGCCACTCACCGCCCTCACGGTCATCACCGCCCTCACGCCACTCACGGCCCTCACGCACTCATAGCCCTCACGCCACTCACCGCCCTTACGGCCCTCACCACCCTCACAGCCCTCGCCGCCATCACGGCCCTCACGGCCATCTCACCCTCACACTCATGAATATTCCTGGTTCAGAAACTCACTCACCCTCACCTCACCTGTGAAGATGAGGGTGAGTGAGGGTGAGTGAGGGCCCTCATGAGTGAGGTTTGCCGAGGTATGAACACACCAGGAAATAAAAAGAAAATACAGCATGCCAGGCTTTTGTTGTTTCTGTTCTTGATCATGTTCTTTTGCAGAGCCGACAAAAAGCAGAAGACGCGCAGCCTGACAGTTTCGTGCATGCCTATGTAGAAACCTCACTTTCACGTGCAAAAAAAAAAAGCAGAAAACTATGGCACCAGAACTCCAACCCCAACTTTGAGATAAGTCCCTGTCTTTGTGCAGAACTTGATGCACACCAATTTAAAAAGTGATGCATCACCTTCATCTGGTGTGCAGCTTAGAATCTTTGTACATATGACATCCACATGTAAATCTGGCTATTGTGTAAAAATCTAAGCTAAATTAGATCTACTCTGAATGTCCTCAGAGCTGTTTGAAAAAATTTCGAAATAAGTATTGCTACTACATCCAAATATTGTTGTCATGATATTCTGAGCCTCAGTTAAGGCACGTTCCATACGTCGATGCTATCAGTTGCGTGATAACTTTCATAGCAAAAGCGACCATCGCAAGAAGAAAGCGAGGCGATTTGGGCAGTCGCTACCTGACCCTAGTTTTTGCGATGCGATCTGTGCAACCTAAAAACAAAGGGCGAGGGTAAGACAGGCGGGGGAGGAGGAAGCAGACTGAACGCTAAAGAGAGAAGGAGGTTTCCCTCTCTTCTCCAGCGTTCCGTCTGCTTCCTCCTGCCCAGTTCATCTTCCCCTCGCCCTTCGTTCTTAGGTTGCAACGAACTATAGTCGCGGAGCAGCTGAGCCAATCAACGGCGTTCGAAGCCAGAGTTTTCGAGAAGTGACTCGCCAACGAAGGCGTTGGACTCGATAATCGCGCATGCCGATGTGACCATCTAAATTTTTTGCAATGCGATCTAGCCGCGTCGCGCGACTGCTTTCATCGCCTGTGTGAAAGCGCCTTTACACTCCCACCAGCTTGAAGTCGTGACCGCCATTTCGTAAAATGGCAGTCACAAGAAAAGGTTATGAAGCTCACAAAGTAATTACTTACTGTATGTTGTCATCACAACAACTGGATGTGGCTCCCAGCCGGTTTCACCTGGTAGGGCCCGTTGTTCGGCCAGGGCCAAAACCCCTTTTCCATTTGCTCTTCCATTTTCTGGCCACATGCACGTAGAACGATCTTCAGACAGCCATATCACAGGAACAACTGCCACGCAGTCGTCTTCGAGGGGGAATTTTACAATGGCAAATGGTCTGTCCATCCTGTACCAAGCATACAACAGAGGCAGGGACAGAGTGAAAGGGTCACGTTCGTTAGCTCACAACAAATTTTGTGCCATTGATATCGTAGTTAATATGACCACACTTGGGAGTTGTAAGCTTCCTTCAAAGATAAGGAAATTAGAACAATTCAACGTCCCAAATTTGTGGCTGCCAAGAAGGCATCTATCACATGAACATAATGGGCGCAAACTGATAGCTTTGGACATTGGACCTGAAGAAATGCTGAAGCCACACGGCGATGCGATCTTGTTGCGCGATAACTTCGTTGCAAAAGCGACCATAGCGGAAAAAGAGCGACGCGATTTGAGCAGACGCTGACCGGATTAATAATTGGTGTTGTGTGGATATTTATGCAGCGTGTAGTTGGTCAGCCATTTCAAGGTTGCGACGAATCACTAGCTGTAGAGGAGCAATTTAGCCAGTGCAGTAACACCGCTAGTCTTTAAAGGCGTGTTAAGAACGGCGATGCGATCTAGTCGCGCGATAACTTTCATCGCAAAAGCAACCATCGCAACCATCGTGGAAAAAAAAGCGACGCGATTTGAGCAGTCGCTAGCTGACCAAACTTTTTCCGATGCGATCTAGTCGAGGAAGGGACTCGCACATCACGTACGCCAGTGTGACCATCTAATTTTCTTGCGATGCGATCTAGTCACATCGCGTGACTGCTTACATCGCATGGTATCAACGCGCCTTAAACCACATGCCTCCGAATTCCACACATGTGGTTAGGCTTACCGAACCCCGCACGTCTTTCCACTCGTTGGGACGCTTGGGGGAACGGTTTATAGCAATTGCAAGATAAAAAATAGCAACACGAACCAGAAACAACACTTACCCAGCGGTAGAATTGCACGGGTGATGAAGACGAGTGGCAACTGGAAGCAACTAGCAAGATTTGTTTTTCAATAAAAGTCTTCAGACGCCCATCCACCATGTGACAACACGAAGAACAAAAAAAGGAAATGCCGAAGGGCGACCGTCGCGCCGCCTTTCGATTGTCGTCCCTAAGCGGTAAATATAATTGTTTACTGTAAAACTCAATACAATTTAAAAAAAATACAGCTAAACTTACTAATTTAGAAATATATGAGAATATTTAAATATTTGTTTATCTTAAAATCACACAGAAACCGAAACCAACCCAAATTTTGCTTGCGGTTTGTGTTGGCAGATCACCATGGTCCGGACTCCGCGCTACTCTGCGGTAGAAGCAGTAGAAGTTTCAAACGTGATCGTGGCGTCCGAACAAGATATCGCTTGAAAAAGAGACAGGGTGTGCAGTCTCTGGAACCCTTACGCCCTTACCAGTATGCCAACGGAGTCGGTATAAAGTTGACAGAGGGTGTGGTTGATAGAACCCCATTTCATGGAAGCTCGTTTTAGCGAAAGCGTACGTTTCATGGAAGCACGGTTTAGAGAAGGTATCAGAAGGAAATAAACCATTTTCTCTTTCTTGTTGCCACTTTCTCTCACCAAAGTAAGCCCCACAAAAATAATAATAATATAAAACAAAAAACATTTCCACTTTTTAGATCGAACCGACAGGCAAGACCCAACAAGTTTCGCTTCTGGTCAAGGTGGACGACGTCGTAACGATTATATTATGTTCTTTTAACGTCATATTTTTCTCTTAACCTTTCGCTGTTTATTGATCTTTTTTTTTTTTTTTTTGGATGTGCTATAATTTTGATGACGAGATCCTACGAAGGTTTTGTTTTCATTTTATTTTATCTACGCCAAATGGCTCAATAAATATTACTGACTACAGACAACGAATGCAATCCACAAACCAGTCTCCTCCACATGCCTTGTTGACTTCGTTGCGCGTGAACGAGTTCAGTGCAGCGAGCGTTCTTCCTTTGTTTGCCGGTGGCTCTGCTTTTCTGCTTTCATTTATTTTGGGATGAGCTCCAAATGGAGTAAGTACCGAGTCGTGAGCAAGGAGTACGCCGAGACCTTAGTGGAGCTCGGCTGTTCGCGGCGGATCATCGATCATTCTCCAAAGTCTGCAAACTATAAGAGACGGAGAAGTGAAGCATTCACAGACGACGCTTGCTCTGGCGAGAGCGGACAAGAGAGTTCGACGGACAGTGCCCATCCCGACGAGGACTCGCAGCCTACGGAGAGCGGTTTAGGCGACGATGAAGCCACCTCGGCGAACAGCTCAAGCGATGACTGTGACGAGCAGTGCTGTAACGATGACTCCGTGGCGTCCGACTCTTCTACAGAGCCCAGTGGAGACTCAGCGCAAGGCGGAGGAGACTTCGTTTCTGACGAAGCCTCGTTTGGTGCTCATCCGCAACACGAACTTTTGGCAGCCGAAGAATTCGCCGTCATCGCCGGGAAGCACAATCTGACGCACGCGAGTATAAATGCCATCCTGGATTTCTGCCGGCGCCGAGGCATCTCGGAGCTTCCGCGGGACGCGAGGACCATCATGAAGACCGAGCGTAAAGCTAAACTGGACAGTAGTGGTTCGTTTATACACTTTGGACTCGCGGAAGGCATCCGTGAAGCGTTGGGGCCCGGTCCTGTTCCGCAGGTGCTGAAGTTGCAAGGCAACATTGATGGTCTACCTTTGTACAAAAGTAGTCAGCTCGGCTTATGGCCGATACTGTGCCGAATCACAAACGTTCCAGCATCTGAGCCGTTTATGGTCAGCGTTTACTGTGGAGTAGGGAAGCCGCCGAGCTTGCAAACATACTTGGAGCCATTCCTAGAAGATGTCGCCGAGCTGTCCTCCAACGGGATGGTTCACAAGGGTGCCCATGTGGATGTAAAGCTGACAGCGATGATCTGCGATGCCCCTGCAAGGAGCTACGTCAAAGCCATAATCGGGCACAATGGCTACCATGCTTGTGAACGCTGCAGCCAGAAAGGTGAACGCATTGATGGCAGGCTGACTTTTCCAGACTTGTATGCACCCGAACGTACAAATGCTTCCTTCCGGACCCACGATGATGAATGCCACCATACCGGTGTGTCTCCATTCATGTCACTCAATATTGACATGGTAACATGGTTCCCGACGGAGTACATGCACCTTGTCTGCCTGGGAGTCATGCGGCGACTGCTGAAGAATTGGGTCTGCCCAGGGTACAGCAAAAGACTGAGCAGAGTGCTACGGAGCCGCCTCAATGAGGGCCTACGACAATCAGCCGCTTTTTTCCCAAGTCACTTCCAGAGGAAGCCAAGGGGCACCGAGGAGCTGGATCGATGGAAAGCGACAGAGTATCGGACGTTTCTTCTCTACGTCGGGCCAGTACTTCTGAAGCATGTCGTGACCCCTGAACAGTACGAGCACTTCTTGATGTTGCATGTGGCCATCAGGATTCTCGTGTCACCAAAGTACCATTTGGTCTTTAACCAGTTTTCACGGGACCTGCTTAGGTACTTCGTACAAGAGTTTGGCAAACTCTACGGAGCGAGACAGCTTGTGTATAATGTGCACACCCTAAGCCACCTCGCTGACCAGTGCCTCGATCATGGGCCTCTTGACAGCTTCAGCGCTTTCCCCTTTGAAAGCTACCTGGGAAAGATAAAGAAGAAGCTGCGGTCCTCAAACAAGCCGCTCGCGCAGCTCAGTAGAAGAATATCTGAAGTGCGACATACTGCACACATCCAGGCCAAAGCTGTGCAGCACCAAGTCAAGCCAGGTGACTGCTTTATGTTCTCCGAGTCTCCTGTCGTCGTCCTAAAGATTCTGAGTGATAGCTTCGAGGGAGGCATTTTACCCAACCCAAGAAATTTCTTCAAGGTGCCCCTGAAGTCCTCCGAACTTGGCATCTGGCGGTGCGATTCTATCGAACTTGAAGCAAAGATCTGGCCCCTTGCTGATCTTCAGAATGCTGTTCAATGTGTTAAGCTTGAATACAAGCAGGGGCACGTCGTGCTGCCACTTCTTCACCTGTTCTGAAACCTCAGCTGCTGCTCAGTGCCACGGAAGTCAAGTGCGGCTAACGGACTCCAGTCTGTTGGTTGGAATCTCGGCCAAGGTTTAAGCAGTACGCTTCTAGTTGGACGACTCGGGGGAGTGTGCTGGAGTGCGGCAGAAAGTCTCCGTCAAGGCGAACTGGCTCACCGCCCCCTTTTGTGCGGGCTGCGATGTTTCGTGCGGTGATTGCGTCAGACTATTGAGTGTCTGCTGTGGCAAAGTCTCAGGCGAGGTGAACTGACTCGCTGCTTTTTTGTGTTGGCTGTGACATTTTCGTGCAGTGATCAGACTCGAGTACCTGCTGCGGCAAAAATTCACGGTCGGAGAGAACTGGCTCACGCTCGCTTTCGTGTGGGCTGCAACGTTTTTGTGTTGAGTGTGTCAGACTCTCGAGTGTTCACTGCGGCAATAGGTGTCTCCGTCGGGCCTAACCGGCTCATCGCCCGCTCTTGTGCGGGCTGCGATGTTTTCATGTGGGATTGTGTCACACTCTTGAGTGTCTGCTGTGGCAAAGTCTCAGGTGAGGCGAACTGACTCGCTGCTTCTTCATGCTGACTGTGACATTTTCGTGCGGTGATTGTGTCAGAGTCTTGAGTGCCTGCTGCAGCAGGAAGTCTGTCAGAGCGAACTGGCTCATCGCTCGCTTTCGTGTAGGCTGCGACGTTTTCGTGTGGTTATTGTCTCAAACTTTGAAATGTTTACTGTGGCAGAAAGTTTCCATTGGGGCAAACTGGCTTACCACTCACTTTCGTGCGGGCTGCAACATTTTTGTGCGGTGATCGGTTGGCTCTCGAGTTGTATCCTGTGGCAGAAAGTCTGCGTCGGGGCAAACTGGCTCGCCACTCACTTTCGCGTGGGCTGCAGCGTTTTCGTGTGGTGATTGTGTCGGACCCCTGCTGCGGCAGAAAGTCCTCGTCGAGGCGAACTAACTCACTACTCACTTTCGTGCTGGCTGCGACATGTTGAAGCAGTCTGTGTGTCAAGCTCTTTAGTGGCTACGTTGAGTCGGGAAGTATCCATCGGGGTGAACTGGCCCACTACTCGCTTTTGTGTGGGCTGCAATGCTTCCATGCGTTGATTGTGTCAGGCTCTGGAGTGTCTGCTGCGGCAGAAAGTATCCATCGGAGCAGCTGGCTCACCATATAATCTCTTAAGTGAATTAACAGTATATGTTCGTAATTGAAAATGATCCCTGTTGACTATGACGAGACTTCACACGCCTGATTTTATTTCTGCACTTGCAAATTGAAGGCATGTATACATTTCACTTTTCAGATTTTTACTTGATTTATGAGAAAGTAAAATTTTGAGATGACTGCCTTTGGAGTGCGGCCTTAATGTACATATTTTAAACACCGATGAAGTGAGCGGAAGAGTGTTTATCAAGATATCGGTTAGCATGAAATACCATGATTATTCGAAAATGTTAACACAGTATGAGTGTTCAGGTGGTCATTAATTATATTGGTCATCTTATCATGAGGTGGCAGTTATGCATTGACAGAACTGTCACTTGGAGTTATTCATCACTGTTCAACATATACCATCTAATTCCAAAGTTTATAAACAGTATACATGTGGTTGGCAAACATATCTCAATGTAACATGCATACTGCATTGCTGGGAAGCCATTGGATATTAAAATTAAATATTGAACAGTCTATGCCAATATATATTTTCAATATTTGTCACCCACCATTGGTGTTCCCAGGTATTTTTTCCGGGGAGGTTGGGGGTGGGAACGTGCTTCTAGTGCTATTTCTTGCGCTGAGCTTACAAATTGTGCAATGAACGCAGGGTCGGACCACATTTCAAGGCGGGCTGAAGCCCCATAAACGCGCTCGTTCCCCTGGCTCCACCACTAGCAGCATGGTTTTGACATGCTAATTTTAAATAACTGGTACCAGGATATTTCCAGGGATGGAATTGCTGCGCCACTAAGTGCCTAATGACTTTTCATGCGCCACACTGATACAAAAGTATAAATAAAAACAAAATTGCGCCAAGGTGCGCCAAAAGTGAAATTATAAACGAGCCTCGTCGAAATCAGCCATCTCGCAGTTTTTGTTGACAACACTGACATTGGACATTCCAACCCAAAGGGAACGTTGGTGGATCCGAATCCGAAGGTCGCTGCGATGGTTATACTTCGTTTCAGCTTAAAACAGTTGTTACAGCATTCTCATAGCATTGCTTCTGCTACCAGGCCTCTTTGAAGCCATTCGCTGTCTCCCTGCTTCATCTAAGTCCACACGCAGATGATGCTACACGCGAGAGCTCTGGACTTCCAATGTCCCTGCCAAGAACGGACGCTCGTGCATTGCAAACACTGTTCTAGGTCACATGCTGGCGCTTGTAGCATCGGTTGTCTGCTGCCGTTACTGTGTGTTTTTCTGGAGTGCCGGAGTCATTTCATCTGGGTTGTGGAGCAAACAGCATCCCCATATTGTGGTAAACTCAAATCATTTAAGTTGGCACACCTCTCTCTTGGATGTACTTGCACGACTGTTTACAAAAGTCACAGTCCGCACGTGCAAAATTGCAGTCCAGCCAGCACTCGCAATTGCAGCCAGCCAGAAACTGCGCGTCCATAACACACAAACACAATAATGAACGCGCTCTAATACGATTTTATGGAAAGGTATATTGCAAGCCTGCAGCCCATGTTGGCCTGCCCCCGAGGCCCCACTTAGAAAACTTGGGAACATAACAAGGGCGAGCGAGCAGTGACGGAACAAGGTATGAGCTGAAGGATATGTGTATCTGTTTGCTTACTTTTACCACTTTGCAAGTTGGTTCCATCACGTGTCGCACTGTCGTGCAGTTTTGCTTTATATCATTTGTCTAATTTTCATGTAAGTTTGTGAAAAATGTTTCAAATAAAAGGTTAATTAAACCACTGTTGAGTTCCCATTGATTAAGTTATCTATATGCCATATTTCATTGAGTTTTGAAAACCAGGTGACATTTAGCCTCTATTTTAATTCTTAAAACTGACGAATGCTGGTCCCAACTTGCTCCAAGACCTCGTTTTTGCTGCTAGCCTGCATGAAAATACTTTTTTTCTGGTCCCAAAATTTCTCCAAAGCTGCTTTGCCCAGTTTCATCCCTGTATTTCCAATACTGGGAATTGTGGCTTTAACGCTCCAATATTGAACAGCATATGACAGCATACATTCAATATTAGGAAGCCCTTGGCCTTGGCAGTGCAATATGACCAGCACAAGTCAGCATACTTCCAAAATTGGAAATCCAAATTGGCTTTTACAGTCCACTATTGGACCAGCTTATGCCAGCATGAGTTGATCTTGGAAAGCTGTTGGCTTTGACAGTTGAATATTGACCAGCTTACGCCAGCATGCATCCGATATTGGAAAGCCATTGGCTCTAACAGTCCAATATTGGACAGCTAATGCTGGCATGTATCAAATATTGGAAAGCCATTGGTTCTGACAGTCCAATATTGTACAGTTTATGCCAGCATATATCCAATATCGGAAACCTATCGGCTTTGACAGTCCAATATTGGATAACTTATGCCGGCATATATCCAATATTGGAAAACCATTGACTTTGACAGTCCAATATTGGACAGGTTATGCCAGTATATATCCAATATTGGAAAGCCATTGGCTTTGGCAGTCCAATATTGGATAACTTATGCCAGCATATATCCAATATTGGAAAACCATTGGCTTTGACAGTCCAATATTGGACAGGTTATGCCAGCATTTATCCAATATTGGCAAGCCATTGGCTTTCACAGTCCAATATTGGACAGCTTATTCCAGTGCATCACCAATATTGGAAAAACATTGGCTATGATAGTCCATTATTGGCCCAGGTAATTCCAATATTGGTAAACACATGGCTCAGTTGGGCCATTGTTGGGCCATTCTTTGTCCCATCAATTCCAATGTTGGCCCAATATCGTGTGCTGCCTGGGAATGGTGCACGTGAGATAACTGGAACACGTCCTACACTGCACAGTTCTAAATTTTCCAGACTTCTCTGGTGGCGCGAAGGTATGGCTTCCACAGGACTTACCAGACGACAAAGAGTACGTCACCAGTAAACCAATAGGTCTGCTTGAGTAAGACACGTGACCACACCGTAGAGAAATACAATCTGGCAGTGCGTTGCCACATCTGGCGTTCGCATGCACCCATTGGGTCACGGGAGCCGTACATTTTTCGCTTTCTGCGAAGATACATGCGGTAACGGGGTTCAAGAACAGTCTCTCGGGAGTCTATGAAGATTGGCTTCTTTCTTTGATATCGCTTTAATCTTCGAAGAAGCTGAAAGCCACAAATGGGCACAAATGGGAAGGCACAAATGGTGAAAGTGAATATATATATTTAACAAACAAACAGTTATCAGGGGTGACACTGAGCACAGCGTCTTTATGCTATTATTTTTGGATCTATTACATACCACACGCCTTTTGAAAGGCCCATGTAGGTATGGGTTACAAAAGACATTCAAATCATAATTACACATGGGTATCATAACTATTAGTAATTAGCACTGTCATAACTAACAACTAACGGCAATTACAACATATGTTCAAAGAGGCTTACAACACAAGTGCACAATGAAAATACCAAAAATGATGATCATCAGGTGTTTTAATAAAAATATGGGCTGTGAATATATTGAAAGGGTGGGCGTTCCAATCTGATATATTGCATGAAAAGCATGAAAATTTGAAAATGTTGGTTCGAGCATAAAGAGGTTGAAGAAAAAACTGATGGTGGTTCCTAGTGGCTCTGGAAGTTAATGAGGTTAAATATGAAAAAGGAGTCGACGCACAGTTTGTTACAATAAAGAAGGAACAAGAATTTCAGTCTTGAAATCTACCTCCGCCATTCTAGGGGCATGATATTGTTTGCCACTATTAAGTAAGATGGGGAGTCCAGCCTCTTGCACTTTCCTGGAATAAAACGAACTGCTCTCCTCTGAAACATCTCAAGTTTTGATGC